TTGGCGCATCGTGATCGACCGTTGGACAGCAGGTTGGCAGCGCTGTCCCCGCCCTCCCCGAGTTTAGAAGTAGGCGCCGTCGGGGCGCGCATCGCGCTCCCCCGCTGTCAGGCTCAAGGTGTGCACACACAATATCATGGCATCGTTCGGACGTGGGCAATTTTCCTTCGGCGAGGACCATCGTGGAGAATCTTTGATCATTTGGCGAGAAGCCCACGCACGACATCGAAAAAAAACAGGGAATGGACATCCGAGCGATGGCGAGAATATGCATGCCAGGTGCTCGCTGGTACTACCTGCAAACGAACTACTGGTCATCCCGATCTCCACGCCTCACTTCTGGCCATCGTCCTTCCAGTCAGCAGGGCGAAGATTCATCATGTCACCTTGAACGTTCCTTACGGCTACTACGTATCGGTTCGCGATATATCGGTCCCTCTATCCATGTAGGTGCACACACACCTACATACATACATACATACATACATACATACATACATACATACATACATGCATGCATGCATGCATGCATGCATGCATGCATGCATGCATGCATACATGCATACATGCATACATGCATACATATACATATATCGGCGCACCGGGTCCGGGGGCCCGGGGCCGGGACCTCGACCGCAAATGTGGGGTTCCGGGGGGCCCGGAGGCTCGTCGGGGCTTGCCGGAGGCCTCCCCGGTCAGACAAGAGGGCCCCAGAAGCGCCCAAGATGGCCCAACAAACTTCCAAGAGGCCTCCAAGAGGGCTCCGAGATGCTGAAGCTGGCCTCCAGACGTCCAAGGACGCCCCCAAGAGGCCCCAAGAAGCCTCCAACATGCGTCCCAAGAGGGCCCCTAGACGCAAAAATTGACCCATTCCCTTCGTAAAACGTACATTTTCAACAAAGTTGTCTTTTGGGCTTTCCGACGTTACAGGACGGCCCAAGAGGCGCCCAAGACCGCCCCAAGACGGCCCAAGAAGCTTCCAAGAGGGCCCCAGGACAGCCCAAGAGGGCCCCAAGACGGCCCAAGAGGCGCCCAAGATGGCCCAAGAGGGCCCCAAGACGGGCCCAAGAGGGGGCCCAGAGGGGGACCACGAACCGCAAGCTCGAGCCTTCCGCCCCAAGAGGCCGCCAGGAGGCCCCCAGGAGGCCCCTCAAGAGGCCCCAGGAGACCCCAGACGTCCAAGGACGCCCCCAAGACGCCCCAAGAAGCCTCCAACATGCGTCCCAAGAGGGCCCCTAGACGCAAAAATTGACCCATTCCCTTCGTAAAACGTACATTTTCAACAAAGTCGCCTTTTGGGCTTTCCGACCGCCCCAAGACAAGACCCAAGAAGCTTCCAAGAGGGCCCCAGGACAGCCCAAGAGGGCCCCAAGACGGCCCAAGAGGCGCCCAAGATGGCCCAAGAGGGCCCCAAGACGGGCCCAAGAGGGGGCCCAGAGGGGGACCACGAACCGCAAGCTCGAGCCTTCCGCCCCAAGAGGCCGCCAGGAGGCCCCCAGGAGGCCCCTCAAGAGGCCCCAGGAGACCCCAGACGTCCAAGGACGCCCCCAAGAGGCCCCAAGAAGCCTCCAACATGCGTCCCAAGAGGGCCCCTAGACGCAAAAATTGACCCATTCCCTTCGTAAAACGTACATTTTTCACAAAGTCGCCTTTTGGGCTTTCCGACGTTACAGGACGGCCCAAGAGGCGCCCAAGACCGCCCCAAGACGGCCCAAGAAGCTTCCAAGAGGGCCCCAGGACAGCCCAAGAGGGCCCCAAGACGGCCCAAGAGGCGCCCAAGATGGCCCAAGAGGGCCCCAAGACGGGCCCAAGAGGGGGCCCAGAGGGGGACCACGAACCGCAAGCTCGAGCCTTCCGCCCCAAGAGGCCGCCAGGAGGCCCCCAGGAGGCCCCTCAAGAGGCCCCAGGAGACCCCAGACGTCCAAGGACGCCCCCACGACGCTTCGCGTCACCAATTTCTTCTCACAACGATTCCTGGGTCTGTGACTCGACAGAACCTAAGCGCGCGCGAAGCGCGCGCGTGGTTCTAGTATATATATATATATATATATATATATACACATACATACATACATACATACATACATACATACATACATACATACATACATACATACATACATGCATACGTACGTACGTACGTACGTACGTACGTACATACATGCATACATACATACATACATACATACATACATACATACATACATACACATATATACATACCTATATATATATATATATATAGATGTGTGTGTGCCTGTGTGCGTACATAATTGTGCCTATATATATAGAGAGAGAGAGAGAGAGAGACTTACATAGATAAATACATACAGCGTTCCAGGGAGCCTCCACAGCGGTTCTGGAGGGCCCAAGACTACTCCCAGGAACGCCCAGAATGCGAAAGGATGGTGGTCCAGGACGATCCCAAGCAGCCCAAGTCAGCCTTCCGACGGCTCTCGAGGCTCCCAGGTAACCTCCAAGAGACCCCAAGAGAGGTCCGAGTGGCGTCCCGGGACGGCCCGAAGAGGCCAAAATCGTAGATTTTCATTTGTTTTTCAATGTTTTTGGCTTCTCGCGTTTTCGAGCTTCCAACGGTCCAAGAGCGCCGAAGAGGCTCCCAAGACCGCCCCCAAACCACCCAAGATACCTTCAGGACAGCCCCAGACCGCCCCAGAACAGGCCCAACATGGGCCCAAGAGCGGGAGCAGGAGGCTTCCAGAGACCTCCGAGAGGCCTCCGTGACCCCCCAGAGGCCCCCAACACACACACCCGATCCCTTAGAGGCCCCAAAACGACCCCAACGAGGCTCCAAGAACAGCCCAAGAGAGCTGCGAGAGCCGTCCCGAGAGAGCCCAAAGAGGGTCAAATCGTTGATTTCCCATGTTTTTTCTTATGTTTTCCGCCTTCTCACGTTTTCCCGCTTCCAACCCTTGAAGATCGAGGATTTTGAAAAAAACAAAAGCAAAAACAAAACAAGAGAGATAGAGAATTCCTTGAATTCCTCTTTTCTCAAAGTGGGACTCCTACTCGTGGGTCCTACATATCCCCTGACATCTGGCCAGCATCGCGCCTCCCGGCTTCCGGGGGGGAGACCCCAAGACGCCGAAGGACAGCCCATGACGACCCCAAGAAGCCCCCAGAACGTAAAGAACGGCCCAACACGCTCCCGCGCAGCCCGAGACACCCTTCCGACGGCTCTCCAGGCCTCCAGGAGGCCTCCAGAAAGCTTCAAAAGAAGTCCGAGAAGCGTCTCAGGAAAGCCCGAAGAGGTCGGAACCGTCGATGTTGATGGTTTGTTTCCATGTTTCTGGCCTTCTCGCGTTTTCGAGCTTCCAACGGTTCAAGACCGCCCCAAGACCGCCAAAAGACTCCTAGGACGGGCCCAAGACGGGCCAAGAAACCCCCAAAATTGCCGAAGAGGCGCCCGGTACCGCGCCCCCTCTTTTTTTCAAAGTGGACTCCTGCTCGGAGATCCCGCACATGCCCTGACATCTGGCCGGTATCGCGCCTCCTGGCTTCCCGGGGGGCCCCCAAGACGCCCAAGGACAGCCCAAGACGACCCCAAGCCCAACACGCTCCCGCGCAGCCCGAGACACCCTTCCGAAGGCTCTCCAGGCCTCCAGGAGGCCTCCAGAACCCCCAGGAGGTCTGGAAGATCCCATACCCCTGAGGGGCCCGGCTAACAAAACCCGCGAGGCACAAACAAAAAACAGCGCCGAACAGCGCCGAGGAACTGGAACAAAATGGGAATCCCACAATTCTGTTTTTTTATCTAAGTTTGGCCCCCACTCTACTCTGGCACAACGGACCACAATTCAAACCCCCTTCACCTCCCAAAAAAGAACCCAGGAAAGCCTTTGAGGGCCCCAAATCGTTGAATATCTAAAAAGAAATTAATGGTTTCTGCGCTTCCGCACTTCCCCTCCGATACGATTCCGAGGCCTGCTAAGGGCCTCCAAGGGAGTCCCTGGACGCAAGAAGCGACCAACATGAGATTACATGAGTTAGCCTATCAAGCCTTGCTAGAACTTGAGCGCAGCGCGAAGCGCGCGCGATGGTTCTAGTGTGTATATATATATATATATATGTAGGCACCAATTTCATGTTCCGACCCGTCGCACGATCAATTGATCCACCAACAATCGGGACAGTCATCGGCGAAACCACTGGGACAACCATCGGGACAACCGTCGGGACAACCATCGTGACGACCGTAGAGGGGCCCCAGGACAACCCACCCCGGGGTAACCCCGCCCCAAGATCCGCCAACTGGAGGGGAGAGTAATTATCCTTTTGCTTCGATTTCGCATGATCCACGGCAGGATCACCTCCCCCTTCCGCCTACGCAGCTCTGCCTTGCCCGCACGCGAGACACGAACACGACACCCAAACACGAACACGACACGTTTACGTCGAAAATATTTCGACGTAAACAAAGGTGGCCTGACTGCTTTTTGGCCTCAGGAGAGGGTGGTCACGGCGCATGCATTACTAACAGAAGCCAGCGCACTTGTAATGTCCGCCCCAAAAATATAAAGGGAAGGCCCCCCATTTCTCCTTCAGGGGGGTGTAGGGGAATAGCGACCGTCGTGGCGACAACTATACTCTTCTGTTCCCGCGGCTGCGGCAGCTACAGGGCAGCAGCGTTTCAGCTGTTGCTGCCTCGTACGATCCGCGTCGTGTCGAGAGATGTGGCTCCGGCGATCCTGTGTTGTTTGAACATTACTGTTGTTGACCACAACGCTTGTTTTTATTATTGGATTCACGTTGCAGGCGTGGTAGAAACCAGCGGGCGTCCGCGTACAGATGTTCGCGATCCGTAGCGACCGTACGTGCCCAACATTGAGGGGTCCCGGGGGTCTGAGGACTTTCCACTGGAGGGTCCACTGGATGGTCGCGGGTTTACGCACTTGCCTTGGCTCGCAGCGCGTTCGCTAAATGTTCGAACGTTGTTCAATTTTGTGTAGGTTGGTTGTTCAGTGTTGCATGATTTGTCTTGCGCACGATGTCATCCCGCATCATTCTGGCTCAAGCCACATTTGTGCAATCTCGACCAGTTTCGCACAATCATCCTGATTGATCGGAGGTTTTGCAGATTGAACGTGGTTCCGAGCATGTCGATTGGAGACGCGCTTGCGAGAAAGGGTATCGCGCTACGCAGCAACTCAAAGTACGTCCAAGCTCAGAACGCCGCCGTCGACTCGCTATTGGCCATGGCCCGCGTAAACAAGGCTGTTCTCGAATGCATCGTCGAGCACGACACCGTGCAGAAGTGCATGAAGGATCAGTGGGCGGCCATCCAGGAGGAAGCGTTCCGCAAGAGCAAAGAGGCGGGCGCCCCAGTGGAGGCCCAGCATGAGGCCGCGAACAAGCGCGCCGCCATGGAGGCTGCGGAGTATTTCTCCAACCTTGCGGAATACTACAAGGTGAGGGCCCAGGCCCATGGGGCGGCCTGCTCAGGGGCCGCCAGCAACGTCGAATGCGCCGACGCGCTCGTCACGGAGACGATGAAGTTCAACATCTTCGCCGACAGTTCCGAGAGTGCACGGTCCCCCTGGCGCGACCTGGGCGCTCGGCCTACCGTGATCGACGGTCCTGCGTGGCACAGGCCGCAAATGCCGAAACGGTAGGCGCGGCGGTGTCGTTCATCAGATCAAACGTGTCTGCAGGAGGTGCAACATGTAAGCATTGTGCGCAATGCCATAGTGATCGTTTGTTGATTCATTGTTTGGCCTATCGGCGCGGGCCCCCAAGCCCCCCCTCCCAGTAGATCTTGAATATTTTTTGGAACCTGTTTCTAGCGGGTGGAGTCTCCCCCCAGAGGCCGCACTCTTGCAAGCAGTCGCACTAAGCAGAGGTCTGGAGCTAGACCCCCCACTCCCCCCCCTTGCCGCCCAATGTCGAAACGCCGAAGAAAAAACGCTCACATAGTGATAGTCACTGCTACGGTCCACATGCCTGCGGCAAACCCAGCTGCCGTGCAGCAGCGCAGCAGGAATGAGGTTAAGGTCAAGACTCGTTTCGGTCCAGCGCCCTGACTGCATTTGCGCGGGTCCTAAACACACCCGCGTTGTCCACGGTTTCCTCCGTTCTCTCCCTGTTCCTTCATTTGCGAATCTTCTTGGGGGGCTTCTTCGGGCCCCCTCTCGGGGACCTCTTGTAGCTCCCTTGGGGGCCTGTATTCTGTTCTCCGCCAGTCTTGGGGGGGGCGTCTTGGGGCTCTCTTTGGGCTGGTTCGGGCCGTTTCGGGGACTTCTTGGCGCTCTTTAGACTGTTCCCGAGCCGTCCTTGAGCCGAAACGCTTCGGAAACCAAAACAAATGTTTCCGATTCAGTTATCTAATGTTTGTCGTTCCTCGGGCCTCGCAGGGTGCCTCTGTGGGTGTCTCTCAGGGGCTTCTTGGGGGAATGTCGGAGCCTTTGGAAAGTCGCCTGTGTTTCGATGGCCTTGGGAGGTCTTGTTGCCGCGTTGGGGCGGCCACCCTTCGCGCAGGCGCGGTGGCGGATCGCTCTGTATCCACGCCGTCCGGCTCGGGGCACGCCCATGCCCAAGGTTGCATGTACAGTCTCCCCTCCAGCACTGCCACCGGGTAGGAACTCCCCAGACATCCACGGAACATGAAGCGGTGCACGTGGTCGAGGCTTTCCGGATGGGGTCTGGCCCCGGGAAAGCTGGGTCGGAGCAGCGCACCGCGTCGCCGATGCATCGGCGGTGCGGCTCGATGTGGAGTCCGATTTTCCCCCCATCGACGTCGCCGATGCATCGGTGATGCCGCGCGATCGACCCCATCTACTCCGACCCCAACTGGGAGGCCTCTGCATGGCATGGCCAGGCTGGGCAAGGGGCTGGGGTGCGGCTGCACGATGGTCCAGAGCACTTCCCCCTCCTCTCCTCCTCGTCCTCCTCCTCCTTTCCCCCCTCCTCCTCTGTTCCCTCCCGCGTGCCTGGTCCGAGGCATCGAAGCACGCGGCGTGCCGCGCGCCGCGTGGGCGGGCCGCGGCTACTGGCGCGCGGCTTCTTCCTCCGTGCCCTGTGGCCGTTCTGCGGCCTCCTGGCTCTCGTGAGCCGACGTCCCCCTCTCGTCGTTCCTCTTCGTGTCACTCGTCTTTCTCGCCTTTCCTGGCCTCGTGGCAGGTCCGCTTGTCGTCCTCGTCGTCGTCGTCTCGTTTTCCTCCTCCCCACGTTCTCGCCGACTTGCCTTGGTTGTGCCGGCCTCGGTGCGAAGCTGTAGCATCGAGGGGTCCCCTTCCCATCAGTTGGGAAGCTGGCGATTTCTTGTTTCAGGTGCGCATGACCCACACAGTTGTACTTATTGTAGCGTTTGAGAAAAAATGGCCCAGAGCACGTTGCTCGCACGGCCAGGGACGCCAGGCCTCCTCAGCGCGCGGCCTTCAGGGGCTCGGCATGTGAGGCATCCGAGATTGGGTGCGTTATGTCTGCGTCTGTGTCCGTGTCTGTAACTCTGTCTGTTTCTGCATCCGTGTCCGAATCCGTGTCCGTTTTCTTGTCCGAGTCCGTGTCCGTTTCCGTGTCCGCGTCCGTGTCCGTGTTGGTATCTATGTTTGTGTCCGTGTTTGTGTTTGTGTGTTGAGTCCGTGCTTGTGGTTGTGTTTGTGCTTGTGTCTGCGTCTGGCGCCGTGACTGTTTGTGTCTGTGTCTGTGTCCGTGTCTTTGTTTGTGTCCGTGTCCGTGTTGGTGTCCGTGGCGTGTTTGTGTTTGTGTGTGTGTGTCTGTGTCTTTGTTTGTGTGTCTGTGCCTGTTTTTTTGTTGTGTGTGTGTGTGCGGTAATGTGTGTGTGTGTGTGTGTGTGTCCGTGTGTGTCCGTGGGTGCGTGGGTGCGTGCGTGCGTGCGTGCGTGCGTGCGTGCGTGAGTATGTGTGTGTGTGTGCGCGTGCGCGTGCGTTTGTGCGTCGGGCTTTCTCGCTTGACTTGTCCTTCGGTGTGCCGCTGTGCGCGTGGCTGCGACGCCAAACAGAGTGTGTGCGCGTGTGTGTGCGTGTGTGTGCGTGTGTGCGTGTGTGTGTGTGTGTGTGTGTTCCGCTTCCTGGTCTGATCGCGTGGACACGTCCGCAGAGAGAACATTTTGCCATTTTGCTGCCATGGCAGCATGAACAGCGCTGCCCCGGCCGCGCGCGTCGATTGGGCGCGTCGGGGGTGGGTTGATGTCGTGCTCCATCGAATCTTCTTCTTTTTTGTGCCGCCCACCAACGCGGGCGACGGCAAGCAAATCCACCCGAGGAGAGCAGTCTCCTCGGCGCCCGAATCTCAAAACCATCACCGACTAAGTACTTGGGGGGTGCGCCTCGGAGCCGCTCCAGAAGCGCAGAGCGGGTTTTGAGACTTGGGCGAGTTGCACGATGCGGGGGTCCCAGGCCTCGGGCCAGGCCGGGGGGAGCAGCGCGCTGGGGCCCTGGCCTCCCCATGCGATGGCCATGGCCTGAGAACTGAGAGCAGCAGGGCGCCTTAGCCCTAGCTGCTGTTTAAAGCAGCGCGCAACGCTGTTCAAAGCTTGGGAAGCTGGCCATTGCCTCGCCAGCGCTTCCGCGCTTCCCCCCCTGCCCCCCCCTTCTCGCACCGCCGCGCCTGGGGGTCGCGGACAGAGGCGGCCAGCCCTCCCGGGACTGCCCGGAAGCCTTCCCGCCTTCTTGATCAAGCGGTGGCTTGGCATCGCTCGGGCGTGTGCATTTCCTTCGGCGAGGACCATCGAGGAGCATCCTTGATCATTTGGCGAAAAAGCCACGCAAGAAACCGAAACAAAACAGGGAATGGACGTCCGAACGATGCCCAGGTGGCGAGGCGTCGTGGCTCACCTACAGCCCACCGAAGAGTGTTCTAAGAGCCCGTTGCGGCCTGCACGAGATAGTCTTAGAGCGTTTCTGGCTTAGACCGGTCTGTGCTCCAAGAACACTGCACCCGTTCTCAGAAGACGTTTGGGGCTCTGAGAACATCTCGTGGCAGGCCCACAGGAATGCCGGGACGGTCAGTCCTTGTTCAATCTGGCGAAGCCTTCGAAAGCCTCCCCCCCTCACCGAAAAGCCGCGCCGCCTTCTGAGATCGGGCGAAGACAACTATGCACATGCACCGATCCTGGCAAGGTCCATCCTTGACCCAGGATCGGTGCATATGCCTTCCTGGCCAAGGTAGGAGGGCGTATGCACCGACCCTGGGCTCAGGATGGACCTGGCCAGAATCGGTGTATGTGCATAGTTCTTTTTCCTCTATGAGAGGGGTGGCCCCTTCTGCCTTCCCCCCTCGCCCCGGGCGCGCCGCTCGGGCAGGCGCGGGCACGGGTCGGGGCGCGCGGAGAAGGGACTGGCCCCGCTTCCACGCCGAGTCGGGCTGCGTTCTCCCCGATCGGCGTGTGTCGGGGGGAAAAAAAACACAGACACAATGAATCGTCGATTCCCAAGAAAAGATGGGAAAATATGGGAACCCAGAAAATATGGGAAAATATTAGGAATTTGGTTGTTTGTCTCTGCTTATATGTGTGTCCCAGTTTCCCTTCAGTGTGCCCGCACTGACTTTTAGAGGACGATCGACTTCCCAAGGGTGCCACCTGCATCCTCAGCCTCTTCTCAAGCAGTGGCGGAGCGTCCTAGCTCGCCCATAGGTCTGCCAAATAATGTCCTAATAACCTTTTGTGGTCTGCATGACATGTTCTTGGAACATTTCTGGCTGATACTGTTTTGCTTTAACACATCGGGCTTATGTTCTAAGAACATGGTATTGTTTTATTTTTGGGTTCTAAGAACATGTCGTGGTAGGCCTAGAGGAATGCCGGGACGGTCGGTCCCTGCCAAGATCTTCGGTCATATTCGGTCCATCCTCAGCCACTTCCGATGGACATCCCCGCTCGAAACAACAAAAGCCTCGGCACCAGCGTGCAAGGCCCCTGCAGCCTCGTTGCGCACCCTCACCTGTCGCTTCTGACTGTGCACTCCCCGATCCACGTCAGCGTGTGCCCGAGAGCTCCCCCCCCCTGGCCTCCTCCTCCCCTTTCGAGCCTGTCGATGCGGGCTCCAGGGCGCGCGACCGCGCGCCGTAGCCCTCACTCCTCCTCCCCGCGCCTCCCCGTCGACCAGCAGGGAGGGCCTCCGCCGGCCATCTTCGCGGCAGGCTGTCCGGCCCGAGGCCGACAGCCTTCGCTCTTATCCGCCGCGGTGCGGGTCAGCTTTTTGCTCGAGGTGCCTCCTGCCGTTCCAACTCGAGGTGGACAAAAGACACGCGCGTGCTCCTCGCCTGTCTATCCGCGCCTCTCTCTCTCTCTCTCTCTCGCTTCTTCGTCCATGTTCCCGCCGATCCTCTCCCCGGGTCTGCCCGTGCTCGGCACCTTTCCACGGTCCCCTTCCATGCCCGAGCTTCTTCGGGCATGGAAGTGCCGAGTCCATCTCCGCGCCCCATCTCCGCGCAGATGTTGCGCAGATCCAGAGCCCTTTCCATGTTCCCTTGTTGGCCCATTCCCCCCAACCCATCAGGGTCGGCTTCGGGACCACGCCCTCCTCGACCGCCCCATCGCGCATCGTTGAGAGACGCAACGACGACGTCGTCGTCGTCGTTGTCGACATCCGCGTCTTCGCTGTCGGCAAGCCATCGTGGGCGAGTATAGGGTTCCGTGCCCTGCGACGGGATATTCAATACAGGCCGTCAGACGCACTGCTGTCATGGTCGTGCCTTCCCTGCCGGATGATGCAAGAATGTCTTCGCCGTCGGCTTCGCTGCGCGCCGGACGTGCCCGCCACCCCCCCACCCCCCGGCGGCTGGCGGCGAGGACCGGCTCCGGCAGCTCGAGCTGAGGCTCGGCGCCGCGGGGCCCGCCTGGCCGCCGCCCGGGTCGCCGGCGAGGCCGCTGGGTTGAGCCGCGGGCCGTCGGCCACGCGGGAAGGGGCACCAAGCGCGTGCCACTGCTCTCGAAGTGCCTGCTCGCAAGCGTCCGAGACACACATGTCTGCGTCTGCCTCGATGTAAGCCGAAGAAAAAAACCGTAAGCCCAAACTTCTCGGCGCTCCGCGCGGACGTCTTGGATCCGCGCTGGGCCCCTCGCGCGCCAGGGAGGGGGGGGGGGCCTGATGCAGCTCTAAGCAACCCGCGCGGAGCGCCAAGAAGTTTATGTTTGTGCAGGTGTTTCTTCTATGCTCGCAAACGTCCGGAACGCACATGTCTCCCTCGATGTAGCGTATCGTGCATTCCCCATGGCGGGTCCAGGCCATTCTGCGAGCCATCACTCTGCGAGCAGTGGAGCGCGATTGTCGAGAGGGCGCCTCCTCCCCAGGGGGACCTCCCTCGTCTCGCCTCGCCGCGCCTCGCCTCCCCAGGGGGACCTCCCTCGCCTCGCCTCGCCTCGCCTCCTCCCCAGGGGGGCCTCCCCTCTGGCGGCTCGGCTCCGGCTCGCCGCCCCGGCCCACCTTTGCCCCGAGATGCCGGGTGCACTGCCGACCAGGGCCAGGGGAGATTCCACCCGGAGAGAGTGGAGAGCTCCTCGTGCTCCTCCTCTTCTTCCTCCTCCTCCTCCTCACTCTGTCCTCCCCCCTCGAGTCCGTCTTCCTCCTCCTCCGATTGTCCTCTGTCGTAACTTTGTAGAGCTGTGTGGCAGGCCTTCTGCCGCAAAAGGGGTGGCATTTTTTTCAGCGGCTCGGGCGGACGCGCGGTGCGGTCGTAGCCTGGAGGGGGCCGTTGCCAGACGAAGCAACCACAGAGGCGCGAGAACCCAACCCGCCCAACAGCACGCGGACTCGTCATCGAGGGCCGATCGCCAACCTATCGACGATGCATCGCCGATTCCATCCCGATGTTTCCCTTCCCCGAGCGCGTGCCCCCCTGACGTTCTTTTTCACCCCCTCTGGTAAGAAGCGTCCTCCCCGCGGGTCAGTGCCGGGCGGAGCTAGGACGAGGATGAATACGTTCCAAAGACCGTTCCTGAACGCTCTCACAAGGCCGCGGCGCCCGGCGAGACATCTTCCAGAGCCGCCAGTTCAGATATATTTCCGATGTATCCCCGTCGGTGTCAGTTCTGGGAGGCTCGACTCGTGCTGCGGGCACGAGGAGGGCACAGAGCGTGACAGACTGGCCCAGGCATCTGAGCGACTGAAGAAATTTGGGTGGGCTGCGTGGACATTCGCGCGTAAGCTGCCCCCGTAAGGTCGCGCGGAAGCGCCCTCTTCTCCACCTGGTGTGCCACGCTGGCGGCTCGCGTAGCCTCGGCGTAAGCTTGCTGTGCCTTCTCGCGTTCGACCCTGTTCTGTTCGCCGCCCGTCGGACGAATTGATATGTTCAGTTCCAGCGTTTGCCTTGATTCTGGTATCTGGAATCCAGGTTCGAGCCCCTGGACGATCGAGAGCTACTCGAGCAAATCTTATGCACTATCTTATGGCCTCCGGCCCTTCCCGCCACTGTGCCTGGGATGCGGGTATGGAGACTAATGGATGGTCGTTGGGATCTCGTGGGAGTCCTCTTGGAGGCAGTTTGGAGGCTTCTTGGCGGCAGCTTTGGACCTCCTCTGGCCTCTTTTGGCCATTTTGACGGCCTCTTGAGGCTTCTTCGGGGCATCTTGGGCGCCTCTCGGGGCCTCTTGGGGGCCTCCTGGTGGCCTCTTGAAACGGACGGCTAGGATTTTCCCTCTCTTGGGCCTTTGGGGCCGTCTTGGGCGCCTCTTTGGCCGTCTTCAGGCACTCTTAGGTCGTCTTGGGGCCCTCTTGAGGCCTCTTGGGCCGTCTTGGGTCTTGCGGTGGTCTTGGGGGCCTCTTGGGCCGTCTTGGAGCGTCGGACAGCCGAACATGTGAGAACGCCAAAATCCTTCAAAACACCTACGGGAAATCAATGTTCTGTGCTTCTTGGGGCCCTCTTGGGAGGCCTCTTGGAGGCCCCTTGGAGGCCTCTCGGGGCGTCTTGGAGGCCCATTGGGCCATCTTGAGGCCATCTTTCGGCGACTCGGGGCCCTCTTGGACCGTCTTGGGGGCCACTTGAGGCCCTCTTTGCCCGTCTTGGGACCCTCCAGGCTCCGACAGAGTCGCGCGGCAAGACGCGAGAAGCCCCGAGAGAGTTGAGAGCAAGGGGCCTGGGCCCCGTAAAGAGCCCCCTGGAGTGAGGAGTGAGGCTCTGAGGATTGGGCAAAGGACCTGAGGACACGCCCACTCCGTGCCCAAGGGCACGGTGGCGGATATGTGCTTCATTGTCTCTGGTGTCTGAAGGTCGGTTTTGTTCGGTCTCGGGGACCATCAGAAATTGATCCGGAGTGGAATAATGCAGGGGCAGGATGGATTTGCGGAGGGTCGGATTTTGGCCGGCCCCCCGTCGTCACAGCTGGACTCGCCTCAAGATCTTGGTCAGGTGGCATCCCGAGAGAGGCCCGTTCAGCAGCGGCATAATTATGTATCTTCTTGTTCGCCCAACGGGGGGGTGGGGCGGAGGGAAGGCGGAGGGGGGAGGGAGGAGGGAGGGACGAGGGAGGGACGATGGACGAGGGACGAGGGAGGGACCAAGGAAAACGAGGGAGGCACGAGGGAGGGAGGAGGGAGGCGGAGGGGGGCGGAGGGGGGGTTGGGGGCGACGAGGGCGAGAGACGGAGAGAGGCGGGGGAGGGAGGATCGGGAGCCTCGAGACGGGGGTCAGTGCAAACGGGGGTCAGCCAAGGCACCAGATCCTGCAGGATCCTGCGAAGACCCCCTCTGGCTGACCCGGGTTAGCGAGCCGCTCGTGGCCGCGAGGCGGCCGCGCCTATTGGCTGACCCGGGTTTACCGCAGCTTCAGAGCTGATTTACCCCCGAGCTCTTGGCGCCGCCGACTCCTACGACAATGCGTAGACTGCTTCGCAGATCCACCGAACATTCTACCCAATCCCACCAGCCCTCTGGGCGTAGGTGGTCTAGAGCAGATCCTCTTCCACCCCTCCCTCTTCCCCCTTGGGGAGGGGTTTACCCCTCCCCCTACCCCCTCCCCTGGACCTGGACGGGGGGGGCCGCGGGTAGTTAGAGCGTCCAAGATGGCCCAAGACGGCTCCAAGAGCGCCTCAGAGAACCCAAGATGAGCTCCAAGATGGCTCAAGATAGCGCAAGATCGCTCACGATGGCTCCTAAGATGGTTCCAAGAAGCCCAAAGACGGCCCCAAGATAACTCCAAGTGGCCAAACAGCTCCCCAAGGAGGCCCCGAAGAGGCCAAAATCGTCCCAAAACCTAAGGAAAATCAATGATTTTTGCTTTCTCGCCTTTTCGCTTCCGATGGCCATCCGAGGCCTGGAGATGGCTCCAAGATGGCCCAAGAGGGCCCCAAGAGAGCCCCAAAAGAGCCCCAAGACGGCCCCAAGAGCGCCCAAGAGCACTCCAAGAGCGTTCCAAGAGGGGTCCAAGAGGCGATTTTAGGGGCTTCCGAGGGGGGACGCTAATTAAACCCCCCCTCTTGTTTGATCGACTCCCTCCAAGATGGCCCCAAAAGCGCCCCGAAGGCTCCCCAGAGCGCCTCAAGAGGGTCCCAAGAGGCGCCCAAGATGCCCCAAGGCGCCCAAAAAGCCCTCCAAGAGGCCCTCAAAAGACCCCCAAGAAGCTCCTTCCCCTCCTCCTCCTCCTCCTCCGATTCTTCCTCCTTCTCCGTCCTCCTCCTCCTCCTCCTCCTCCTCCTCTTCCCCCTCCTCCTCCTCCTCCTCCTCCTCCGACGACGACGACGACGACGACTCCTCTTCCATCCTCCCCCTCTCGGGGTCTGTGACAGCTTCCCCCGCCCTTTGTTATTCTGCATGCTCCCCGACTTCCCTGATCACCTCAACTCCCCTGAGCATCGTTTCTGGATGGGCTGGTGGGGATACGCGAAGCGTCAACAATTTTGTTATATGTTCGACGATGCTTTCATTTGTGGGGTTATACTCGAAGAAGGGGGCAAGAGGCGAGCGACGCAGGAAAACGGGGCCGTTTGCGCCGACGTTCGCGCGTAAGGGCACGCGTAAGCGCCCTCGTTTCCAGTGCAGCGTCCCGCGCTGGCGGTCCGCGTACGCCGCGGCGCAAGGTCGCTGTGCCATCTCGCGTAAGATCTGTGTTTCCTTTAGTCGTTCAAGGTGGTCCTCCCTCCTCCCTCCTCCCTCCCTCCCCTCCTCCCTCCCTCCCTCCTCCCTCCTCCCTTGGCGGCAGGGGGGAGCAGGGCGTGCAGAAGGGGGCAGGACGGCGGGAGTCGAAGAAGAAAAGACGCCGCAGACATACACTTTTCACGCTCCGCGCGGATCTCTTGGATCCGCGCTGGACCCTCCCTGGCGCGCGGAGCGCGCCAGGGGCGGCGCTGGAGGCGCCTCCATCGGGGTCCAGCGCAGATCCAAGAAATCCGCGCGGAGCGCCAAAAGTTTATGTTTATAGTGTTTATTCTTTTCGGAGGTGGACAGACTTCCTACCCTGACACGTCGATTCAGGAATTGGCCGTTTTCGGCTCGCGAGAGGGCCTCGCGGCCGTCAGTTTTGCGGGTCCAGGTCCGCCCGTTTCGGTCCCTGGCCGTTTTCACTAAGGGTCGGCGGTGAACAAACCTCCCTTTAGTAGACCTCCCCTTCGTGAAAACGGCCTGGGGCCGAAACCGACGGACCTGGACCCGAAAAATGACGGCCGCGACGCCCTCTCGCGAACCGAAAACGGCAAATTCCTTAGTCGACGTGTCAGGGTAGGAGGTCTGTCCACCCCCGAGGGAGATTTGCGAAAGGGAGGTTGGTCCACCGCTGTTCTTTCCTCCGGGGAGAGGGCGTCGCGCAGCAGCGCGGCCTGGCGTGGCCGCTTCCCGGCCCGGGGCGGCGCCCGAGCGGGGTGGCGAAGCCACGCCCGCCCGCGGCAACGTGCAGAGCCCCGAATCATCAGGGGTAACTCGGGTCAGGGCTAACTCGGGTTCGTTTTTCGGGATTCCGAACCCGAGTTACCCCGTGCCCGAGTTACCCCGGATAATTCGGGCGTCCAACAGAGGGGGGTAGGGGGAGGGGGGAAGGCTTTTTAGAAGCGCCCCTGCTTCTTAGAAGGCGCGGGCCTTCTCTATAGACGTAAGGCCGAGGCCTTCTAAGAAGCAGGGTGCTTCTAAGAAGCCTTTCCCCCTCCCCCTACCCCCTTTTGCGCGCCGCCAAACATGTGTTGCTCGGGGGCGGCAAAGATGGGGTATGGCCAGGACCCCGGGTATAAGGGGACCCTGTTAGTGGTAGGGCCCCGGAGCTTCCGAATTGGCCAGAATCGCAAAACCAGGTTTGCCATAGCTGGTGTTTTTTTCGGGTGACGGCAGTTCCGGTTAGTGGAAATGGGACGGGGGGGCACCCCCGGTACAGATCCTTAAACCAGGTTCCACTAAACCCAGTTCTACCAACGCCCGAAAAGAGGGGGGTGATGATTGGGGGGGTGGACATCATGGCGTGGGCCATGATATTTCCTCAGCTTTCATGGTGCCCCTTCTTCTTTCATTACATTCCTGGCTCCCCTGCTGGGCCGTGCACATGCCGCCGGCCATGGTTTGCGCCCTCCCCTCTTGGACGACCCCCTTTTGGCCGCCCCCGAGTTGCCTCCGGTGAGCTCTCGAAGAAGAGAAGACGCCACAAACATAGACTTGGCGCTCCTCGCGGATTTCTTGGATCCGCGCTGGGGCCCCCCGCGGCGCCTCTTGCGCCGCCCCTGGCGCGCTCCTCGCGCCAGGGAGGGGGGTCCAGCGCAGATCCGAGAAGTCCGCGCGGAGCGCCAGCAGTCTATGTCTATGGCGTTGTTTGTTCTTCTTCGAAGCTCGTTGCCTTCAGGGAGCTCGTTGCCCCCAACGCCGACCCCCTCCTGGGGTTGTTTGTCCGGCTGCGCAACCGCGCAGTTCGCCCCGCCACGTGCCAAGGGCGCCGCGCGGCGGCACGTGCAGAATGGCACGGCGCTCTCAGGCCGGAGGCCTTCCCTGGCCCTCTGCGGCGGCAGGGCCACCTCCGTCCATCCCCGCTTCCCCTCCATGCCTCCCCTCCTCAAGACGAAGTTGCGAACAGGTCGGTTTGGGGGAGGATGTCTTCCCCTCTTCCTCCTCCTTCTCCATCCTCCCCTCTTCCCCTCCTCTCTTCTCTTCCCCTCCTCCTCCTCCCCCTCATTCTCCATCCTCCTCTCTTCCACTCTTTCCTCCTCCTCTATATACCTGCCTTCTTTCATTGTTCCTCTGTGCATCTGTGAACAAAGCATATACTTTCGAAAGTCTGCGCGGACCTCTGATTGTTGACGCTTGTTAAGCCCCTCCAACTGGACTGGCCCCTTTAGAGCTGCCTTAGGACGCCCCCGGGCCATCTCAGAGCCGACGACGACGACATCGACGTCCTGGGACGTTCTGGGGCCGCCTCAGAGCCGACGACGACGACGTTGACGTCTTGGGACGTCTGGGGCCTGTCCTGGTTGCAGTTCCAGAGTCGCCGTCGACGTCCACTCGGGCGACGGACGGGATCGTCTTCACCGACATTGGCGCCCAAGCTTCCCGCGTAATGTCGCGCGTAAGCGTCCTCGTTTCCGATGTGGTGTGCCACGACAGCGGCCTGCTTTAGCCACCGCGTAAGGTCGCCCTGCCATCTCGCGTAAGACCGATTTCTGTTGATTCGTCGTTCCATCGAGCGCTTCGTAGTCCGAGCCCAGGGGTCCTCGCCCCCGCCGACAAAACCCCACAGACCGCATCGAGGTCAGACAGTGCACGCCGAATGCGCCGCGCCCCCCCGGCGCGGCGCATTCGGCGTTGCGAGGTTGATTCCCCATTCGGGGGCTGACCCCCCCGGCTTTCGATGATCCGAGGTAAGCTGGCTTTGCTTGGCCCGAGAGGGTGCGGACTCTTCTGCAAGGGGGCCGTCGGCGGCTCCTGCCTCCCGTCCCCTGGGGGGGCCTCCTCGGCCCTCCGAGGGATTCTCGGGGGCCCTTGGAGCATTGACAGGGGTGTTCTTCAGCGTCTGGCCATGCATGTGTGGAGCCGTACCATGAAGGTGTGACGTCCACCATTTAACAAACAACAACCGGAAGGGAAAGAAACACCGGTGCAACTCATCGTCGATTTCCCAGAAAACAAGGGAACTGTTGGAAGTGGATGGGAAGACGAACATCCAGAACATGTGGAGATGATTGGGAATCTTGGGATGTGTTTTTTTAATCGCTTCGCTCATTCCGCCGGCCAATATTGCCTCGCCGCTGTCGTTTGTCGGGTTGTTGTTGTCAACGGCGGTGCCGTTGGGCGGCCTCCTTTTTACGGAGGCGGTGGGTGGTGGGTCAGAGGCCTCATGGATGTTGGCTGGGCTCTCGTGGTTGGCCTCTCGGGGGCCTCTGGGAGGCCTCTTGGGGGCCTCTTGGCGGCCGTGCTGGGGCCTCTTGGGGTCTCTCGGGGGCCTCTTGGGGCCTCTTGGGGTGCCTTTTGGGGCCCCTTGGGGCCTCTTGGGTGCTCCTTGCGGCTGAAGGCTAGACTTTTCGTTTCCTGGTCCCCTTCTTGGGCCCCTCTCGAGGCCGTTTTGGGGCCCTCTTGGGCTATCTTGGGCCCATCTTTGGGGCGTGTTGGGCCGTCTGATGTTGGAGGCCTCTGGGGCAATTCTGGATGCTGTGAACCCCCCACGTCGTGCATGCGACAAATGTACGTCTTCCGAAGGTAATGAGACGACTGTTGCTTGTTGGGGCCCTCTTGGAGAGCCTCTTTGGGCTCTCTTGGGCCTTGGGATGTGTTTATCTGTGTGTCCCCAGCGGCCTGGATCCTGGGGAACTCGATGGGTGTGGACCCAACACTCTCGAGCTTTCTCCCATTAGCCGTAGAAGCGCAACGACGCAGCGACAGCCAGAAGCCATCCCGGCACCAAGGGCCAACTGCCAGACCCTCCCCGTGGCAGCAAAGGGTAGTACCCCGCCCACTTGGACAGTTCGTGACAATATCAAAAATAGCCTTTCGACTGGTAGCACAGTCTGGGGAACCTCTAAGTATGTGTGCATTTACTCGTCTGGATTCTGGATTCGATCGTGCCTGCTTTGCGAACCGATGGCAGTTAGCAATGGAGGTGTTTTCGTCGACAAGATTGCTGGCAAATCCTGCCACCAGCAAGGCAGTCTCCCACTCTTCCGGGACGCTCTGCCAGGCCAGCCGAACAGCGGACAGGTCGCCACAGACCGTGCCCACGAGGTAAAAATAGGGGAACAAAAAGTGACATAAACATAAAAACTCGGAGGTCCGCGTGGATTTCGCGGATCGGCGCTGGACCCCCTCCCTGGCGCGCGGAGCGCGCCAGGGGCGGCGCCGGAGGCGCCGCCAGGGGGGTCAGCGCGGATCCGAGAAATCCGCGCGGATCTCCGAGTTTTTATGTTTATGCCACTTTTTGTTCCCCTGAAAAAGTCCGCGCTTCCGCCTGTCAGCCGCGCGCAGAGGAGGGGCAGGCGGAGAGGATCCGGGCGAAGAGAGAACTATGCACACGCACCGGCCCCGGTCGGGCCCGTCCTTGGCCCCAGGATCGGTGCATAGGCCTTCCTGGCCAAGGCAGGAGGGCGTGTGCACCGATCTTGGGCTCGGGATGGACCTGGCCAAAATCGGTGCATGTGCACGGTTATGTTTCTTCCATGGGAGAAGGTTTTTTTGGAAGCACCCTTGCTTCTGAGGACGGGGGGCCTTCTCTATAGGTGCAGGGCCGGCGCTTTCTAAGAAGCAGTTTCCTTCTGAGCAGCAATCTCAGCGTGCGCGCCGCCAGTTTTGATGTGTTTCGTGTTCCCAAGGTTTTCCAGGGCCATCGCGGTTGCTTCGATCTTCGTAGCAGCCGATTGCCATTGTCTCCAATGGGCCGTCGCCCCCGTTGAGATCCTTGATGTTAGTTGTTTGGCATGGTGCCCTCCTCCTCCTCGCATCCTGGCTGCGAGGACGCAGCGCGTGCTATCACATCACTAACTCTTCCCATGTTGCCAGAAGTGCCCCTGGCCCACGGTGCCCTCCAGGATTTCCCGGCAGGCCCCCACGGCCTTCGGAGAACCCCTCACGAGGCCCAGAAGGCCCTTTGGGGCTCCAAAATGGAGTGAAAAGTTGGGGGGCACCATTAGGGGAACAAAAAGTGGCATAAACATAAAAACTCGGAGATCCGCGCGGATTTCTCGGATCCGCGCTGGACCCCCCTGGCGGCGCCTCCGGCGCCGCCCCTGGCGCGCTCCGCGCGCCAGGGAGGGGGGTCCAGCGCCGATCCGCGAAATCCACGCGGACCTCCGAGTTTTTATGTTTATGCCACTTTTTGTTCCCCTGACCATGGGCCAGGGACACCTTCAGCAACCCCCGCACTACATCTGAGATGTAGGTCGTTTCGCTAATGCGTGTCGTCGGAGGTCCAGCGAGCTCCCTGTTTCAGCTGTCGTGGTTGGACTCGCTGAGTTCCTCGCGGTCCCTGCCTCAGGCCGCATCGATGCCTTTCCTCCAGATTTGCCCTCGTTCGTGCAGGTAGCCTGCGCTCCCCTCCCTTCCTGTTCCTCTTCACGACACTTTCTGCGAACGACCGTTTGCTCCACTGGTGAAGAATCAAGTTCGGCTTTGGCGTCCGCTCGATGCAGAAGGGAAGGAGGTCTTCTGGGATCCTACGGTAGAATGCATGCAGCGATGGCGCGCCAGCGACGCTGGCGAAGGCGTTCAAGGCTGAACTCCGCACGATAGAACGACGCGGAAGCACTGAGAGGCGCAGTAACGCCACAGGAACCGGCGGGATTCAACCTTGTACGGTTGGGGCCGCGATCGTTTCAAGGTTACTTTGCGCGCGCCGACGCCGCGCGAACCTACCCGTGGTGGTTCTCCCTTCCGCCTTTCTCTCATCATGATGGTCTCCTCCTGGGCGAGAGCAGTAGGAGCGCATTGTGTGCTGCACCTCGATCCCACCAAGCCATCCGAATTAGCCAGCGTGAGACCCTGTGATGTTAGATTCATTGGCTTACGCAGCACCGCCGACCCCTTGGGGCGGCAGCAAGAGTGAAAGACAGAATTCGCGGAACGCGCGCGATCGCTGGGCAATCTTGGGTTCTCGGCCTGTCATACGTAGCGTGTGGGGTTCAAGGAGGGGGCCTTGTAGGGGATTGTTTTGAAGTGTTTCGTGGTCTTATGTGAGTTGTTTGAGGTCTTCACGGGGCCTGTCCCAGGCCTCCTTTTCAACCTCCTGGATAGGCTCGGGGATCGTTGAGACCCAGCTGGGGTTGCGTCCGGCCAGAAGTTCGAGAGTGGATCCAGCTGTGTCGACGAGGAGCTTGCTGCAGGCCCAGAGAGGGCGGAGAGCGCCCAAGAACTAGGAGTCTCATGCCTCGAGCCTCGATACACCCCGTGTTCCTTCCTTTGCGAAGGGGTGGCAGCTGCCAGGGAGGTCGATCCTCATCCCGGACTTTCGGCGGTGGTCCCCGGCACCGAAAACGATTCTTGGAGGCTGAAATCGAGGAAATGCCTCGGGTGGTCGAAAGACCACGAAAATATGTGAGACATCGGTGGCGACGACGAAATCTTCTTAACTGTTGTTCCTCTTCCTCCTCCTCTTTCTCCTCCTCGTCCTTCTCCTCGTTTTCTTTTTCTTCTTCTTCCTCTTACCCTTCTCATTATTATTTTCTTCTCGATCGAGGTAGATACCCGCGGCAGCTCATATATATATATATATACACATATATATATATACACATGTATATATATATATATATATATAAACGTCCATATATTTATATGTATATGTATATATGTGGATATGCATATTTGTATATATATATGTGTATATATATGTAAACATATCGATGTAAACATATATATATATATATACATATACACATATAGAGAGAGATAGTGGCCTTCGGCCCATCCCGCCACCGTGCCTTGGCTGTCGGCCTGAGATCCGTGGTGCTTGGAATTCGGGTTAGAGGTTACACGCCTCAAGTGGCAGTTGGGGCTTCTTTTGGGCTTCTTGGCGGCCTCTTGGGGCCTTTGGGAGGGCCTCTTGGGGTCCTCTTGGGGCCTCTCGGGGGCCTCTTGGGGGCCCCATAGGCCCTGTTGAGCGCCTTTTGGGCCCCCCTGGGGGCCGTTTTGGGGCGGAAGGCTCGGATTGTTAATTCATGTTCCTCCTCTTGGGCCCTTCATTGGGCCGTCTTGGGGCACTTCGGGGCCGTCTAGGGAGCCTCTTGGGCCGTGTTGGCGCCCTCTTCGGCCGTTTCGGGCGCCTCTTGGGAACCTGTCGGGCCGTTTTGGGGCAGTCTTGGGGGACTGTGGGGCCGCCTTCAACGCCGCAGCGGCCGAAAAAACGTGCATGATAAACATGTAGGTCTTCTTGTAGGAATTCGTCAATTTTGGCGGGGCCGTATTGGTGCCATCCTGGGCGTCGGGGCCCCCTTGGACCGTTTTGGCTGTCGTGGTCCTCAAGAAAGAGCCCGGGAAGGGCGGACTTCAGATGTAGATTGTCTTGGGGTGTAGTCCCCCCCCCTCGAGAAGGGGGTGGGGCTCTCGTCTCCGCGTGGCCGGTTGGCTGGTAGACACGTCACTCAGGAGGGGGACAAAAACACACAGACACAAGTAATCGTCGACTGCCAGGAAAATATAGGAAAATATGGGAAGTGGGGGGGGAAACAGAAACCCACAACATATAGGAATATATGGGGGATCCACTTATTTGTGTGTATTTATGTGTGTGTCTCTGGGCCCCTTTCAGTCACACCAAACACAGGTCCCCTCGCGCTCCGAAGTGTGATGATGTCGCTTGAGTGTGCCTCAGTCACCCCCAGTGCGTGCACCTGCTCGCCCAGACTCATTAGCCACCTGGATGTCCTCAACGAACTGTTTTGAGGCAAACCGAGAAGCCAGCAGATGGCGCCGCGTTCATTCGCTCCTGATCCTCCTCATCCTACTCCTTCCGTCCCCCATTCGTGATGTAACGGGTGCGTTTCGACGCAGGAGGGAGACGTTTTTGTCTTTCGAATGTGAGGGATACCATGGGGGCGAGGAGGAGGAGCAGGAGCAGGAGGAGGAGGGCGGGAGAGGATGCGAGAAACGAGCAGCAACGGAAAGGGGATGACAGAGGATGTGGAAGAGAGGACAGAGGCGGGGGAGGAGAGGACTGATGTGGAGGAGCAGGAGAAGCTTGAGAGAGATGATGATTACGACGACGATGACGACGACGCCGAGGGCGGGTGTCGCGATGACAACGACGACACTGTCGACGACGATAACGATGACGATGCCGATGCCGATGATGATGATGATGATGATGATGATGATGATGATGATGATGATGAGATGTTGATGATGATGATGCTGATGCTGCTGATGCTGTTGATGATGATGGCCATGGTGATAATGATGATAATGATGGCCTTGGTGATGATGATGTTGCTGATGGCGATGCTGATAGTGATGATGATGATGTTGATGATGCGGATGCTGATGTTTATGATGGTGGCTGTGATGATGATGACGAATGGTGGTTGTGGTGGTGATGGTGCTAGTGGTGTTGATGTTTCTGATGCTGATGCTGATGCTGATGATGACGCTGATGGTGATGGCGATTATGATGATGATGATGATGGTGATGGTGATGGTGATGGTGATGATGATGCTGCTGATGATGATGATGATGATGATGGTATGATGCAGCTGATGATGATTATGATTATGATTATGATGGTGATGGTGATGCTGATGATGATGCTGATGACGATGCCGATGCCGATGATGATGATGATGATGATGATGATGATGATGATGATGATGATGATGATGATGATGATGATGATGAGCAGGAGCAGGAGGAGGAGAAGGAGGAGGAGGAGGAGGAAGAGGAAGAGGATGGGGATCGGGATGAGGACGATGGTGATGATGATGAGCAGGATGTGAGCCTAAAATGAGGAAGAGGAGCAGGAGGAGGAGCAGGAGGAGAGGAGGGGCAGGAGCAGGAGCGAGGAGGAGGAGCGAGGAGGAGCGAGGAGGAGGAGGAGGAGGAGGAGGAGGAGGAGGAGGAGACACGCTTGGAGGCTGCAGGCTGCGGGCCGGCGCCCCCGCGGCCCCGCGACCATGGCGCCCGCAGCCGCCGAGGAGGGCCGCGCCGGGGGCGGCGGCCCCCCCGGGGGGCCGCCGCCGCAGCTGCTCGCGGCGGCGACGATCAGGGCGAACAGCCCAGGGGAGACCAGTGGCCATCGGTCGTGGATAGTTAGTAGGCTTGGAGTCCCAGATTCCAATCTGCTTGAAGCGCCTTCCTGCTTCAAGGATCGAGTGGCTTCACCTTTTCCGTCCTCCTGATGGGGGCGGGCGGAGAACCAATCTAGTTTCAACGCCTTCCTACTTCATGTTTCTGCCTGCTTCTTCCGACCGATGGGTACGGTGGAGGCCCATGCCAAGAAGCTCGGGGGGGAAGATGTACCCCTACCTCTACCCCTCCCTCGTCTTCCCCTTGTTGGGCCTCCTGGGAGGCCCTCGCCGCCACCGCTGGATTCGCTGCGAATTTCTGGTCAGAACGCACCCCGGCAGAGGCCCGGGGAAGGCAATACAGTCCCAGACCCCCTCGCGCCGTGAAAAAAACATGACGGGTACTTTTGTGCGGTTTTCCGCCTCAGGGGGCCTTCCCCAAGCCTCGGGAGCGTCAAACAACGATTCAGGAAGAAGAATTGGCCGACCTCCGGGGCCCGTGCCAAGAAGCACCTTGCCTGCCTCCGGGGCGCCCTCGGGTTTCGATGTTTTCATTATGGGGGGCGTGGCGTGCCCACACCAAAAGTCAAGGCACGTCCCTGGTCGGGCGAAGAGAATTGTGCACATGCACCGATCCTGACAATGTCCATCCTTGACCCAGGATCGGTGCATATACCCTCCTGGCCAAGGTAAGAGGGCGTATGCACCCATCCTGGGCTCAGGATGGGCCTGGCCAGAATCGGTGTATGTGCATAGTTCTCTTTCCTCTACCTGGGGTCTCAGGGTCGGGTCCTCTTGTCCGCGGACTGGCCTCCACTGTGCGTGGACCCAGGGGCGCGGACGTCGGCCACGTGCGCAGGGGGGCTACCGTCGGCCCGCATCGTAAGGACGGGCAACCTTCCCACGGGTATCCCTGCATCGGCCACTCCTCCTCCTCCTCCTCCTCCTCCTCCTCCTCCTGCTCCTCCTCCTCCTCCTCCTCCTCCTCCTCCTCCTTCTCCTCCCCCTCCCCCTCCCCCTCCAACCTTCCCACGGGTATCCCTGCATCCTTGCCTCCTCGGTCCAGCTTCGGCCACTCGTTGGCCGCGCCCCGCTCGAGAAGCTTCGAAACGGGCGCCCAAGGCCCCTGCCTCCTTGTCGCGCATCGCTGTGATGCGGGCCGACGGTGCACGTATCCAGGAGTGCCGATGTCGGCAGCGTGCGTTGCGAGGCAGGGGAAGGGGGGAAGGCCTTTCCGAAAGAGGCTGCTTCTTGGGGGGTGCGGGCCTTGTCTGTAGATGTGGGGCCGGCGCCTTCTGAGAAGCAGCAGTCTTCTAAAAAGCCTTCTCCATCCACCTGCCCCCTCGTGCGTGCCGCCATGAGGCGTTCCAGAAGCGGCCGCGCCTGCGAGATGGCGAAGGCGTTGCCATTTCTTCCATCGCCGGAAGGCGGCGGAAGACCGGCAGAAACCGGCGGAAGTAAAAATCTGCCTCCCAAGAGATTCGGAGGTTGATAGGCCTCCTGCTCTGACACGTCGATTGAGGAATTGGCCGTTTTCGGTTCGCGAGAGGGCGTCGCGGCCGTCATTTTTCGGGTCCAGGTCCGTCGGTTTCGGCCCCAGGCCGTTTTCACCACGGGGAGGTTTCTTAATGGGAGGTTTGTCCACCGCCGAGAGATGGCCGCATGTATCCAGGGATGCCGATGACCCATGCCTTCGGCGAGGCCTCTGGGCGAATACGTGCAATGCCCGTAGAACAAAAGCGCCATAAACATTGAGTTTTAGCGCTCCGCGCGGATTGGGCGCCAAAAGTCATTGTTTGTGTTGTTTTGTTCTTTTCAAACACGTGTAATGCCCACACCTGGGCTCTTCGCCCCTGTCGTCGCCCCCGACCCTCGCGATCCCGCAGAGCTCTGAGACTCCCGCAGCGCCCGCCACGTCACCCCCCCCCCCCCGCCCTGGACATCCGGGCGTGGCTGCTGTTGCGCACTGGGCGCTGTCGCCCAGCTTCGGGCCCCAGGGCCATCAGAGATGCTTGGAAATGCAGCAGAAGGCAGAAGGATGGACCCCCCCGCCTTGGACACCTGGGCGTTGCAGTTTTTGCACACCGGGCGTTGTCGCCCAGCCTTGAGCCTTGGGACCATCAATCTGGTTGACCCCAAAGGGGGTCCTGCGAAAAGGGGGTAGTGCAACAGATGTGGTGCAATAGAGTCGTGGGGTTGCCATAGATTTGGTGTGTGCAATGCATTCCAGTGCGCAAGTGTATCGCTGGATTTTCTCGTGCCCTGCATTAGTTGCAATACAATGCAATACAATTCTCTGGCGCAATGCCTTTGCGATACAAGTGCCCCAAATATATTGCACCACCCCCTTTCAGCTGGACCCCCCTTTGGGCCACGAGGAATCAAAGATGGTTCCGACTCGCAAAATGCATGATAAAGATGGGGTCTAGAGTTGTGTCCGAGATTTTCGAGATCCTGCAGCTTTTTGGTTCGCAGCGTCGGATCTCAGTGATATTGCACCACGCGGGCAACGGACCAGAGACAGCACGGAAGCACGACGACAGCAGACAGTGGCCCCCAGTTAGCGATGAGGTGGCGGCTAAGAGCACGAATCAAAAAGCGCCAGGCCGATGGCTGCAAGGCTGCCAACCGCCAAAACCAACAACAGGCCAATAACAACGATGCCGTTCTTGGTTTTCCTAAGTGGTCAAAGCCTCCTATGGGGGGAGGGACCATTCGAAACTCATGTAGGCATACTCCAAACGACCATACCCCAAACGGCCACTCCAAACTCGTTCAGGCATGCTCGAAAGCATCAGTGTATAGGATGTCAACGTGCACTTCTTGCGCACGCCCTGCGACCCCCACACGCCCGCCTTTCGCACGCGGGCCTCGTTTGAGCCTCCCAGAGCCTTGAAACGATCGAAAGGAACCCAACCAGATTCAGGAGGGGAAAAAACACACAGACACAATGAATCGTCGATTCCCAGGAAATATGGGAAAATATGGGAATTGGGCGGGAAGGCAAAAACCCAGAAAATATGTGAAAATATGGGGAATCTGCTTATTTGTGTGTATTCGTTTGTGTGTCCCAGGGCCCCTTCACAGATGGGGGGGGTGGGGCTGGTGGGCGCCGGGGCAGTCCCCCGCCGTTGCTGCTCCGGTGTCCTCGTGGCGGCGCGACGAGGCCTCCGGGGCGGTCGTGAAGACCGCCGCCGCGGTCAATTCCGACGTGCTCGTGACCGGGGGCCCCCACCCAGGCTCCAGCACGCTGGGGATGGGGCATCGGTAGGGGGCCGCACGCGAACCCTACCCCTACCCCGCACGATCTCTGAGGGGCAGGGTGGGGGTCACGCCGCTCGGGAGCTCCCGAGCGAAGTGAGCCCCACCCTCCCCCTCAGAAATCGTGGGGGGCAGGGGCAGGGTTCGCGTGCGGCCCCCCAGAGGAGGAGAGGCAGGCCCAGAGATCCGAGGCTCCGGCAAAGATCGGAGCGGCGATGTCTTACCGTTTTGTCGGCCCTCCGCGGGGCCCTCCGCGGGCCCCGGGGCCGCCGAGAGCCGATTCGGGACGAGAAGTCGGCCCTGGGGAAGGGCGGTCCAAACCTCCAGGGATCCAGGCACCGAACCAGTGGGAGCGCCGGACGTCTGGGGGGGAAGGCGGAGGGGAAGGGCTTTTGGTGCAGGCGGCCACGCGCAGAGGAATGCAGGGGGATGGGGGGGAGGCTTCCCAGAGGGCGGCTGCTTCCTGGAAGGCGCGGGCCCCATCTCTGGATACAGGGCTGCGGTGGGCGCTGAGTCGCGGGCAGACCGCTGGGCCGAGGTCATATTTATATCGGTTGTTTGAAGCTCCTCCGTGTCTGCCCTGGGAGCCCGCGCCGCGAGGGCGGTGGCGGCGATGCGGTCGAGAGGAACAAAAAAAGGGCCCGCGCCTTCCGAGAAGCAGCCTTCTGAGAAGCGGTCCCTCCTCCCCCTACTTACCAGCCTGGAGCATATCCCTATCCCTATGCTGGGCGCCTCCTCATCACGGTGCCAATCTTAGGGATTCCCTCAGTTTTTGAGGGCGAATCCCTAAGATTGTCATCGCCTTTTGGCGTGTCAATCTTAGGGATAGGGATACGTTCGTGGCTGGTAACCTACCCCCCGTGCGCGCCGCCAATTCAGGCAGGCCAAGGACGGGGGTACGGTCTGTCTTTCCAGACCGTTGCGGGGCGCTCTGGAAGGGCCGCGGCGCCCGCTGCGTCGCCGCCAGGGAAGGGCCTGGTGAAGCTCGTCAAGGGGTCCTCAGAGTGCTCTTGCGCGGCTCTTCGGTGATCTTCCATGAGGCCTTTGCAGCATGGATGTAGCTCCCGGGGCCAAATTGCCAAATAGGCAGCCATTCAGGGGGGTGGCCATTTGACAGAGAGGCTCCACTGGCAAACGTGCAGGCCCAACCAAGGCGGGGGGGTGGGGGGGGGGGGCGGGGGATCAGGCCGTTGCGTGGGCCTTCATGCGAGCCCCAGAGGGTTCAAGGTTCCATACTTCGTCGGATGTGGTCGAGATCGGAACGAAGCCTGGATACGAGAGGGTGACGAGGGGTGGTCGAGATGTGGACGGAGTCAGGTCGAAATCACGCGTAGGATAGGGCCGCGGAGGTCCACGGAGTCTCCCACGAAGGCTCGCGCAAGATCAGATCAGATCGCGGGCCCGCGAACGCGCCCGCCGCCCGAGCGGCCGCGGGGAGGGTGCCCCGCCCCTTGAGCGCGGGGCAGCCCAGGACGAGCCGGGCGGAACGGGCCGCCGCGGGGTGTGGCCTGCACCGGCGGCTTGGCGCGGCCGCTGCGTTCGACGCGGTCCAAGGTCGGAGGACGGTATATCCGTCCACGGTGTGCTCTTGTTCTATCGGGGAGCCGTCAGACTCGAGTACGCTAGAGCTCGTAATGACCGACGCTTTCTGACGGGCCCGTCTTGGTTTTTGGCGGGCCAGTTGTCGTGCGATGTCTGCGGCGGGAGGCCGCGTCAAATCTTCGATTGGGTCTCGCCATTTTGCTGACGGCCCCGTCAGGCCAACGCGAGTTCCCCGAATCCGAGTCTTGCGCCCTCCCGATGTTAAAGCAGGTTTCATATGGCCCTCCAACCAAGGCGGCCCCCGGCGCGCGGCGCACCTCCCCCGCCCGCGCCCGCACCTGCGCCCGCGTCCGCGCCTCTCTCGAGCTGCGCCCCAGGCAGGCCGCCAGACTGCTGCGCACCGACCAGCCCGTGCGACCTCGGCCCGACCCGAGCAGGTCGTAGAGCGGTTCCGAGCTGTGCTCCGAAGCCACCGGTGCAGAGCAGCAGGAGGAGGAGGAGGTTGCGCGTCTGACGCTGCGGGTGAGTCGCACCCCCATAGCATGGCGAAGAAAAAAAAGGAGGTTGCGGAACGAGGAGCGAGAAGCGAAGAGGCGCGAGGAGGGCCACCCTCGAAGAGCGCGCGCGCGGGCGCGCGGGAGGGGGGGGGGTCCACGTCGACCGCGGGTGCTCCAGAGCGCTCTGGGGGCCACAGCTCCCCAGCGGGCGCCACGCGGCTCCCTGGGCGAACCCAGGCGGCCCCGACGGGCGGCGGCGTGCCCCCGCCGTCTCTCGGTGGAGGGTTCCTCAGAAGGGCTTAGGCGACCCGTCCTCCTCCTCCTCCTCCTCCTCCTCCTCCTCCAACTCCTCCTCGGGTCGCCTACGGCCCTGGGGGAAGCCGTGCATCTCTCGGTGGTTCACAGATGGGGTCCTGAGGGATGGGGTCCTACCAGACTCGTCGTACAGTAAATGAGCGGTCTTTTATTTTCGGCGCTCGCGCGGCCAGCGCTACGTCAACGCTGGCATTAGGCATGTGGCCCACGCCCGGGGGTGTCCGAAAAAGCCGGCAGGTGCCCTCGCAGCATTGAAGGACGCGTTTTCTGACAAGTTCCCGAGCTATCAGGCGCTGCGACTTTGAACGGCGTTTCAGGACGCGTTTTCTGACAAGTTCCCGAGCTACCAGGCGCTGCGACTTTGAACGGCGTTTCAGTGTATGTTTGACGAGACTTGTAAGGATAGAAGGGGGTCCAAGGCCAAGGGTGGATCTACATTGTTCGAGGCACCTCATCCTCAGGACCCCATCCCTCAGGACTCCATCTTTGAACCACCGACTCTTCTCCTCGGGGAGTGCTGCCCGGGGCTGAGCCAGGTCGGACAAGGGAGGCGGTAGGAAAGGGGGGGGTAGGAGATCTGTTGCGCGCAGCTGGTTTTGGCCCCGCCGAGGGGCGCCTCACAGAGCTCGAAGGCGCAAGAGCGGATTCGCCCGTCCCCCACCCCTCTTGGGAGCCTCGAGACGGGGGTCAATGCAAAAGGGGGTCAGCCAGAGCGCCTCTGGATCTTGCATGATCCTGCAGGGCCAGGGTCGGGGAAACGTAAGACTCGAGTGCGCCGAAACTCGGGTTTGCCGAAGCCTTTTGACGAGCGCGTCCTGGGCTTTGGCGGTTCAGTTTTTGTGGGACGTCTGCAGCGGGAGCTCAGGTCAGATTTCATGTTGGGTCTCGCAATTTTCACCACGGCCCAGTCAGGCCAACCCGGGTCCCCCGAACCCGAATCTTGCGTCTCCCCGAAGGGGTGCACTGACCCGGGCTTGCGCGGCTCTGGGTTGACCCGGGTCAGCAGATCCCCCCCCCTCTTCTGACCCACCTTCCTCGAGGCCTCCCAGATGGGATCCGCGCACACGGGGTCAGAGGATCGCGCTGCATCACCGTTGAATCGGCGATGCAGCTCGATGCGGAGCCTGGCTTTCTACACGCCGACGTCGCCCAGTCATTACCGTCTTCGCTGGTGCATCGCCGATGAATCGGGCGATGCGTCGCGACCTCCGACACCATCTACTCGGACCCCATCCAGGAGGCCTCTAGGTGCGTCGGTCGGATGCGGACGTTGTTGGTCGGAGCTCGGAGGAGTTCGGATGGTTTCGTCAGCTCCGGGTCCAGGCCTGCCAAAGGGGGTCTGAGTAGATGGAGTCGGAGGATCGCGCCGCATCGCCGATGCATTGCCGATGCGCCCATCAAGTCCGGCCCTTCTCTGTGAGGCCTCCGTTTTGCCCGACGCAGGCACCCCGCGCAGCCGCCCCCTGGTGCCCCGAGGGCTCAGCAGTCGGGTGGAGGGGAGGAGAGGAGGAAGAGGAGGACTGGGAGGAAGGTCGGTACAATCGAAGGGGATACAGGATGGGCACAGAGGCCGACAACATTTCCAATCCCTTTTGAGCAGGGCTCGCTGCCGGTGTTGCCGCGGACGTTGCCCAGTTGAGACAGAAGGCCGCCTGCCCGACAGCGGCCGCTGTCGGTTTTGAACTGCAAATGTTGTTGGGCATCGTACCCAATTCTTCCGTACTCATTTCAGGCGTACCAGAGTATACCCAAGATTTACCTATACGACCACCCCTCGGATGATAAGGAGGTTCGGGGGGGAGGAACCAACGTCTCACTCGATCGGTCTCCAATCGATCTCACTATCGATCTCACTATCGGTCTCGCTCGATCGATCTCACTCGATCGATCTCACAATCGATCTCACTCGATCTATTTCATTCGATCGATCTCACAATCGATATCACATTCGTTCTAACTATCGATCTCACTATCGATATCACAATCGATATCACAATCAGCGTCATCATCATCATCATCAACATCATCGTCATCAACATCATCATCATCATCATCATCATGATCATCATCATCATCATCATCATCATCGGCATCATCGGGACACCATCATCATCATCATCACCTCATCACCATCCTCATCATCAATATCATCATAATGACCATCATCATCATGATGGGACACCATCATCGTCACCACCATCATCATCAACATCATCACCATCGGGACACCATCATTATCATCATCGGAACACCACCATCATTATCATCAGCATCGCATCAACATGATCATGAACAACATCGTCAGCATCATCATCGGGACACCATCATCATCAGCATTAGCAACATCATCAACATCATCATCGGAACACAATCATCGTCGTCACCATCATCATCATCACCATCATCACCAACATCATCGGGACGCCATCATCATCAACATCAGCATCATCACCATCATTGGGCCACCATTATCAAAATCATCACCATCACATCACCATCCTCATCATCAACATCATCATCATTGGGACACCAGCATCATCATCATTATCATCATCATCGGGACACCATCGTCATCATCACCATCATCAACAGCATCATCATCAACCTCATCCTCATCATCATCA